ACCTGGGGGTTGAGCACATATGTTGCCTGGAGACAAAGGTGTGGAAGGACATTTTCAAGAGGCATGGAGCATAGAACTGAAAAGTCAGAATGGCCTTCCACAGGGAGTTTTAAATGTCAACTAGAGACCTCGGGAGCAGCGGGGGGTGGGGGGGGTGGGAGGGTTGGGGGGGGGGCAGCACATGTGAAGGAGGTGTAAAAATTTTCCAAAATTGAGGAAAGGTGTGAACCCCTAGCAAGCTTTCAGGCAGATAACCACCATTAAATCTGTAGGCACACTCCTCTAAATGCACCAGAAAGGTTGACTCCACAGAAAGGAGAGTCTTCTGGCACAGACACCCCGAGGGGAAGGCAGGAGATGAGGCAGCAGTTTCCAGGGGCTGCAGTGGTCACACTCTGACTCCATGCCCACCTGAATGGTCCTCAGTCCTTGTGGTCAGCTTACTTCAGGTGAGCAAAGTGGGGTGCATTTGTCTCTCACAGGCCTTGTGAAGAGCTCCTCCCATGTAGGGGAGGAGACCGGGAGGGAGCTGAAGTGTGGGCAAACGGGACTGGAAGAGAACCTGGCAATGCACGGAGGGAACTGAAAAGCACCTATGATAGCGGCTCATCTGGAGAGCATGAGAACAAAACTAACAATGCTGCAGATCTCCAAGACAGCAGGTGGGAGGCTGGATGGAATACTCTCTAAGCCAGTGATTTTCAACCAGTGCCACAGCACACCGGTGTGCCGGGAGAGGATCTTAAGTGGGCTGCAAAAATTTTTAAAGACAAATAATTAAATTGTTTTTTAAAGAAGTTCAAACCACAATGTTGTACCCAATACAAGAGGAATTATAGAGAAAATGCCAGCACACTGTTCAAATTGAGTACGGGGTCCTTTATTGGCCGGCTGAGACTGAGAGGCAGTTCACACCAATGATACTCTCGGCACCGAGGTAACGATGGGAGGAAGTTTTTATATCTTTCAGCTGAGGCAAAGGAGAGGGGTAGAATCCTTAATGCAAAGCTAGACTTTGCAAGGTTAGATCTATGGGGTGGGGAGGTTGGGCAGTTAGAAGGGGGCACTAGGTGTTTCATGAAGATAGGATGTGGTTTTACAAGGGTCTGTAACTCGGGGCTAAGCGCAGGATGTGTTTGTTTAATAGCCAGTTTTCGCAAGGCCTATGTCTCAGGGGCAGGGAGTAATGAGGAAGGGAGGGGAAAAGAGTGCAAAATGGGGTCTGTCTGGCCTTTCAACAATAAGTATATTCTTCTTCCTTCTTTGTTTTCCATCACATAATTTAAGTTTAACATGGAAGGTTAACTAAAGATTCAAGGTGCTATCAGATAAAAAGTGGAAAAACACTGCTGTAAGCTATCCTTGTGCTTTGTGGGGAGAGTAGAGATATTTGTTAACTTTCTTTTTTTGTTGTTGTTGTTGAGACAGAGTCCTACTCTATGCCCCTGAGCAGAGTGCAGTGGCTTGGTAGCTCACTGCAACCTCAGACTCCGGCTTGTGGGCATCCCGCTGCCTCAGCCTCCGGAAGCTGCTGGGATTACAGGCGCTGGCTGAGGCAGCGTCCCGCTGGGTTTTTCCATTTCTTTCATAAGTCCTGGTCTCACTTTCGCTCAGATGAGTCTCGAACTCCTAAGCTCCAGCGAGCCTCCCACAGTGTTATTTGTTAACTTTCAACTTAGTTGAAAAACAGAGAAGCCCAGTTTTTCAGGGTATACTAGCTTGGATTTTTTTCTTTTTTGAGACAGAGTGTCACTATGTTGCCCTTGGTAGAGTGCCGTGGTGTCACAGCTCACAGCAACCTCCAACTCTTGAGCTTAAGCGATTATCTTGCCTCAGCCTCCCAGGTAGCAGGGACTACAGGCACCTGCACAATGCCCGGCTATTTTTTTGTTGCTGTCATTGTTGTTTAGCTGGCTTGGACCGGGTTCAAACCTGGTTCCCTCCATGTATGTGGCTGGCACCGTAACTACTATGCTACAGGCACCAAGCCATAGCTTGAATTTTTTAAAAGTAGATTCGGAGGTGGGGGTTCTTGTCTATGTGGTTGATTGAAGAAGTTTTCTTAAGAGGCTGGGTAGAGTCTGCTCTCATGAGAAATCTCTGGAGCATGAATCAGGCCACAAAATTGAACCTGCCTTTGATGAAAAGGCACCAGCAATTTGCATTCCCAGTCATGCAGACAATGACTATCATTTTGTTCAGGAGAGACAGGGCCAGCTGGGATGCTGCAGGTGCCTCTTCATGGGGACACACCCTCTGTCCTGCCATCAGTGGGTGCCAGGTCCGAGACTGGACTCGGATCTGGACAAGGGACGGTGACTTTTCACAGGGAATGTCTCCTGCACACCCTCCATTGGCTCCTCTGCATCCTTGGTCGCAATGGCCCCTGTGTGCTACAGAAGAGGTTGATTGTCCCAGGGGTCACCGTGCCCCCTGAGGAGCTGCTCAGGTCTTTGCTGATAGGTCCCTGAGATGCCATACCCCTCCCAGCTCATCACAGATTCCTGCCCACCTTGACCTATGCGGCTTTCAGCCTCTCTGTTCCAGATGTTTCCTGCAGAATGTTTCTGGGGACCAGCTCCCGCCTTGACCCCTGCTGCAGAGGGCAGTCACACTGAGCTTGTCATTGTCAGCGACCCTCACAGAGCTCCCAGGATGCCCAGGTTAAGGGGACACTGAGTCCCCAGGGCCCTGTGAAGGAAGCTGTGTGGCAGTGGGCTGTGCCTTGTGTCCTGGAATTTTTCAGTGTGGGGGTTTCCCAGGCCCTGTGACAATGTACAGTCCCTACCCAGCCCCATGGTGTGACAGGGTCATCCCTGCTCCCAGGCCGATCTATTCCACTTGCAGGTTAAAAGATAGAACTGGTCAGATTATATTTGAAACACACAGGTGTTCATATAGCCCGTCAGTTAAAATTCCACATGGCTGTCCCCTGAGGCCTGGGTACAGCAGGAGATCAGACAAGGGCTACATTATTCCCACTGGGGCCTCAGTGGCAAACTGCACTTGACTCTGAATTGTTTCGTGTCACTCAATGGCCATTTCCAGGAAGCCCAAGGGGATGGCCTTGGCTGGTGGCCAGGCAGCTACTGCCTGCACCCTGGGGAGGTGCCGCCTCTGCAGGAGCCCCACCTGGTGCCAGGAGAGGGCCATGGGGAGGGGTGCCAGGACAGATCCCCCGCACCACAGAGTCGTGTGCAGTGACTGTCCAGGGACACTCAGTTGGGGCTCAGACCCTACCTTGAGTCCTTCGCAGGCCAGGTGCCAGTGGCTAGCTTAGGCCCAGAGGTCTGAGTGGGCTACTGACTGCTCTGTCTCGACCCCCAAGGCTGTTGGGGTTTGGGTGTTTGGCAGGGAGACAGCTCTGAGGAAGGCTGTTGAGGTGCTCTAGGGGGCTATGCAGACTTCCCCAAGGCTGAAGGGCTCTGGCCAAGTCCTGATGGTTGAGAATTGCCCAATTGCCCCCATAGGCATAGGCCCCCCAAGCCTTGGGTCGTGTCTTCAGTACCCACTCTAGTCCACTTCCAGGGCAGGGGGCAGTGTGACTGGGGAAGCAGGGACCCAGGTTCTGGGGGCAGAGCCTGCCCAGCAGCCGGGTCTGCACAATCCCAGGACCACTCACCGGTTGCTCCCCTCGTCCGTGCCAGGAACAGGGTAGAGATTAATGCCCTGTTATTTCCCAGAAATGTGGCCGTTGAGACACTCTGGCCGTGTAGGTAAGGAGTTGCTGTGACCCTATCTGTTTCTGACTTGGTTTCTCTCACTGCTATTGTCCAAAAAGGGCTGAGCTCTTGTCAGGGATGTGAGGATTCTTTCCTTACACAAAAAATATGTATAAAAGTGCTTATGGCAACTTCACTCATATCAGTAATGAATTGAAAACAACTAAGTGTTCATTACCAGAAAAATAGCCAAACCGTGTCTCCCCTAGAGAAGGGTGTTCCATAAACAGTGAATGGGAGTCAGACCCTGAAATACAGAACACGATCCCTGAGGACAAGACCCGCCCAAACACAGTCCACCGTGGAGCTGCTCTTCCTCTAAGAGTCCATTTACATGGACCCTAGACAGGAAAAGGTCAGGGCTTCCTGGGGTGGGGGGTCACATGAAGGATGAGCTCAGGCTCACCCAGACCCTGGCCCAATACCCCTGGGGTTACTGCATTTTCCCTATCATGGCCCCTGGGGGAAGCCAGGCCCCCAAGGAGCCTATGGGTCTGTACTGACTCAGGCAGGACACCCCCAGGGGCTGCAGGCAAAGCCCTGCCTTGGTGAGCTAGCACAGGGGGACAGAGCCCGGGCACTGTTCACAGCTCTGCCATTTCTAGGTAAAGGCACATTCTGTTTACATGGAATTACCTAAGGAAAACATGAACCTGGGGAACGTGGATGCCTGCAATTGGGGTGGGAGCTCCATGGCTGAGCAAGAAAGTGGGGGCCTTTCTGTGGCGACAGAAAGTCTTGCTCCTTGGTACTGGTGTGGGTCGCCTGGGATCACACGTGTGTTGAGGGCTGGGCGTTCACACTAAAGATGTGTGTTTCACTGTTCATGTATTTTGGATAACAGTTTGTTTTGTTTATGTAGAATGCCCCCACCTGGGAAAAGTCCCTGCCTGGGTCCTTAAGCCTAGGAGTCACAGGACCCAGGAGATGCCACCACAGTATCTTGGGGATGCTGGGCCCCATGTTGTGGGGGCCCTGCCCAGGGCTCCCCATATCCTCCCATCGTCCCAGCAGGAGGGACCTCAGACAGGGCCTGCTCCAGAGGAGAGTGCAGCAGGGGCTGGGCAGAGGGGTTGGGGCTCTGCCAGGTGGGGTCTCCTGAGGGGAGGGAGCCAGGAGCTCAACTGTCTATTCCTCTTCCTGGCAGAGCTTCAGGGGTCCCACCCTCCTGTGATGGGGCCACAGGGAGGCTGTGTGTGTGGGGGGCTGCTGGGGAAAGCCTTGCTGCCTGCCCTCCTCCCTGATCTTAAGGCCCAGAGCCTTGGGGAACCTTTGTCAGGTCCCCTCCCAGAAAAGACTTAGCTGGGATGTTGTGAGTCCATTTTAGGGAGCAGTGGGGGTACAGGTGAACCAGTTTGGGGGGGTCATTAAGTTGAGGCCAAAGAGGCGCCTGTGGGTAGGCGCTGTCAGGTGCCTCCTCGCCAGATGAAGGAGCACAGCCCAGGTGGTCATTTGAGGATCATTTATTGCCCCCAGTCTGCTCCCCACTGAGTGGCACAGGACTGAGGATCTCCAGAAGAGTGTTGTCCCCTCCTAGGCAGGGCCTCTATGTCCCCAGCTCTGGTCCTGCAGGAGTAGTGTCTTGGTGCCCACCGGGCAGATGCACCACTATGAGGATGGTGGACTTGTTTCTGATCCCGTAGTCCTGGAGGGTGTTTTCTAGCTCCAGGATGTGGTCGGCAAACAGCATAGAGAATTCTGCATTTTCTGAGAAGAAAGCAAGAAGTAAGCCTGGGCTGCCCCTACTCCTGGGGGCTGCCGTCTGGGGTTCTGTAAGCCTGGGCTGCCCCTGCTCCTGGGGGCTGCCGTCTGGGGTTCTGTAAGCCTGGGCTGCCCCTGCTCCTGGGGGCTGCCGTCTGGGGTTCTGTAAGCCTGGGCTTCCCTGCTCCAGGGGGACTATTGTCTGGGGTTCTGTCCCCTGTAGGCTCTTCTGCGGGGCCTTTACAGGCTGGGGAGAGCTCTACATGTCCTGCAGCCTGCACCCCTTGGGGGCACCTGGATCCTAGCTGAATTGGGACAGAGACAGAATCATGGAGGAGGGACTGGGGTTGGGGGAGGGAGCCAGCGGCAGGCCCCAGTGGCCTGGAGGAGCCTGCAGGGATGGGCCTCTCTCTGACCAGCCAGGATAACCAAAAGTGCTGGGCCTGCTGAACCCCTTGCCCCTGAACTCCAGGAAGGGTGACAGAGACCCAGGAAGGAAGTCAGGGAGCCCACCTTGCTGAGCAAAAGACCCTGAATGAGGACCCTCAGAGCCAAAGAGCACAGCCAGGCTCTTCATGTCCACTCTAAGCCCTGACTGTGGACCCAGGCTGCCCCTCTCTTTTCCTCTCCCCAGGATGCCACCCCTACCCAGCTCCGTCCCACCTCCCTGCCCACCTGACTTGAGCACATTCTGGGCCACCAAGTCCTTTAGCAGCTTCACTGGCATGTTCCTGAACTGCTCCTCAGAACTGGCCACATCTAGCACCACATCCCTTCCCCTAGCGCTGCGTATCCCCAGCTGACAGATCATCCTGTTGGGAGATGTGATGGGCAGACATATAGAGGAGGCTGTGTGCAGCTGGCTTTGGCCAGGAGCCCTGGAGTAAAGGGCCAGCCCCTCTCCTCTCTGTTGTCCCCTCCCCTGGTCCCTCCTACTGAGGACCTTGCACTTCCTGCCTCCCCTGGGCAGTTCTTGGGCCCTGGGCTTCCTGGTCTCTCTGCAGCCTCAGCACCCCTTGGCTTTTCCTCTCATTTCTGAGCGTCTCTGCCTGGTACCACTCACCCCCCACTGGGGGAGGCTGGAGTGTGTTTGTGACAATACCTACCATCTTCCCAGGGAAGCTCACCCCATAGGCCAGAGGGAAGGGTGTGGCGGGGCTGAGGGTGAGAGGCACTGCCAGTGTAGTCACCCAGCTATGGTCAGGAATCCACCTGACCCCACCATAATCACCCCCTCGGGGACATGCCCTCTGGGATGGATGGTCAGCTGCCTTCAGCAAGCACCATCTGAATACCCAGGGATCCTGGGGTCATCCAGGCAGGACTAGGGTTTCCCCTGCCCCCCACCCTCCACTGAGGGGGTCTCTGTGTCCTTAAATCTGAGCAGGGAGTGTGGAGGAAATGTCCCCACCTGGAGAAAAGGGAAGGGACTGAGAATGCATCCCTTCCACACCAGCCCCTCTGGCTTCAGCCAGGCCCCCAGTAGGGTCACCTGGAGAGTCAACACCCGTACGCTCTGCTGTCCAACCCACTCCTCCTGCCCCTGCAAATGGTCTCTTGGTGCCCTAGTGGCCCTGTCAGGCACCCCTCCATTCAAGTCTGCTTCAGGCCCCAACCTGTCCTCCCCAGACCTGCAGCCCTGTCCCTACTTCCTCCCCCTCGTCCCTCCTAGCTGTCCATCCCACCCCAGACCCTCCCTTCCCTGAGACCTCTCTCTCTGTCCTCCTCCCCCTGGATTCTCTGACCACTGGGTTCCATCCTGTCCACCCTCACCTGTTGCTGTCTCAGGAATACCTTTTTCTGTGCTGTGTAAATTTTCTTTTCTTTCTTTTTTAAAGGACATACGTTACTTTTAGAAATAATTAAAGGTGTGCTAAAAATTTCAATCTGGAAGAAAAATGTCTCCAGAACTTCCCATAAAAATAGTAAAAGCCACATTCAGCATCAGTTCCACAGATCCCCATCCTATATTCACCAGAAACAGGACTGATGGTGCCTCCCTGGTCACCAGCTCCCTGAACACGACCTTTAGTTGCTGCCCCACCCTGCCAGGGGGCTGGACTGGGGCCATGTCGTGGCCCCTGCTCTAGTCTCCTGGGGACAGCACAAAGCATAGAAGAGGTAGCGTCTCTGTTCCTCCAGGGGAGACTGTGGGCTTTAGAGGGCAGGTGTGAGGGCAGGTGAGGGTGCATGTGCTGTTGTGTCCTGGGGTGACTGCAGAGACCCTGCTGGCTGGAACTGTGCTCAGGGGCATGAGTGTGGCACTACCCAGGGCTCAGTGTCCCTGAACAGAACCCACAGCTCCAGGGCTCTTCCCACATCAGGGTCTCCTCCAGTGCCACAGGGGTCCCTGGCCCCCTCTTCTGGGAATGAAACCCTTTCTGGCTCCCAGACCCAGCCCCTCTAGGGAAGCACACACCTTACATCAAAGCCCAGCACACAGACCACCTCTGCAAAGGCACCAGTGCTCTGCTCCCCACTCCTGCCCCACTGCCTCTGGCCCCATCCTGTGACCTTTGCTGGACCAGTGCTCAGTCAACATGCCTGGAAAGAAGGGACAGGTGGGTGGAGCACCCAGGCGTGAACACTGCTGTCAGCCAAGGCCACAGGAATGGGACCCCACAGCCGGGTGCCCCCTCCCTTGCCAGGCACTCACCAGGGATGAATGAGATGACCTGGCTTCTGTGGTCATCCACAGAAGTTTCAGCACTTGGGTGACATGGATGGGCTTCTGGATTTTTTGAAACTTCCCATTTTCAGTGCCAGCTCCTTGACTTGCAGAATCAGGATCTCTGGGAGGCACAGGAGGAGATTCTCCTAGAAAGGAGTGGTGGGGACTTGCACACTCCAGGGGTCAGCAGGCTCAGCGGGCCCCAGAAGAACCTCCTGACCACCTGCCCTGGCCACATCCACATGTCCTAACCACGTTCTTCTCTGCACCCTTCCTGGCAACAGAGAACACCGCAGACCATGACACTGCCTACTACAGGTTCTGAGCAACAGTCACAAAGCTTGGGGCGCTGCACATATGTGCAATGCTCTCCTGTCTATCCAGGGGAGCCTCACCTGCAGCACAGCCATGACTTGCACCACTGGTGGGAAGGGGAGTGGCAGGGAGCAGAACAGTCTACACCAGTTGGGCTCCAGAGAGTGACTTCACCAGAAGGAAAGGAATTGAAATGAAGAGGCAGGAAGGAAGAGCAACCTGGTAACTGAGTAGCAGAAAGTGGAGACAGTGCCTTCTGCCTTGAAAACAGACACAGAAATGACACTGGTAGTGACATAGAAACCTAGAGGGGTAAATATTGCACAAAATTCTTGTGCTGTTGGAGGTTTGATCAAAGAGCCAATTAATAGTAGGCTGAGAAGTTGAGACATTAAGACAAAACCACACGGGAAAATACAAAAGAAATAGTGAAACAAAACCCTCTGGGACCGACCACACCATGAGGGAGACAAGACAGGGCTGAAGCAGGAGGGACCAAGGAAGGCACTTGGTGAGGGGGAGAATTAACACCAGAATCAGTAATTGCATTCAATACAAAGAAAGGTCACTGCACTGACCGAAGGACAGAATTTGTCAGAGGCAATAAAAACAGACAACTGCATGCAGATAAGAGGAGAAATATCTAGTGCACTAGAATTCAGAAAGCTCAAAAGTCCAAAGGCGGTGAAAGATACGTCAGGAAAAGCACAGCCAAAGAAGGTCTCAGACTAAGTTGGTTTTAAGCCAAAGGCATAACCTGAGGTAGGCAGTTTCAAATAGTAAATGGGATGATTTTCCAAGAATACATAATACTTCTAAATGTCTATACACCCAAGAATGTAGCTGCAGAGATATGTCACATAAAACTTGACAGAGCCACAAGGAGGGCTGTGTGACTCTACACTATTACGGGAAGGCTCAACATGACTATTTCTAGGCTAAAGAATAGAGAGACATTTGCACTTGACTGTTTATTGCAGCACAATTTACAATCCCTAAACTGTGGAGAGAGAAAGATAAGTCTGTAAGACAATTTGACCACACCTTAAGGAAGCTCGCCCAGTGGACACGTGGACATTGCCCCCGAAACTGCAAGAGTGTTCCAACACTATGAACACTTACCAAACTTCACCATGGCCATGTGCACTGCTCTAGCAAGTCTCAGCAAACTCCAAGGAATAATCGTAATCAGACTTTTTTTTCCTGTCTGATTGCACCTTTTTGAAATGTGTACCCACTAACTACAGAATGCTGTCACACTGTCAGAAGCCTATAAAGGGTATAAGGCCGAAGCCTAGAAATCTATAACAAAAAGATAGTTAGAAGAGCCCCATGTGTTTGGAAATAAACAAACATATTTCTAAGTAACTTACAAGTCAAAGATAACAATGAAAAGAAGTATTTTGAAATGAAAAGTTATGGAAACCCTAGAAATAAAACTTTGCAGAAAGCAGCTAAAGCCATAGTTCAAGGGAAATTTATAGCTGTAAAGCACATATTAACAAAAGGAGAAAGGAAAATAAATAATGTTCTAGGACTTTATCTTAAGTTTTTATTTTTATTTTTTATTGTTGAGGATTCATTGAGGGTACAGAGAACCAGGTTACACTGATTGCATTTGTTAGGTAAAGTCTCGCTTATAATTGTGTCCTGCCTCCAAGAAGTGTGTCACACCATGACCCCCATCCACTTCCCTCCTTCCTTCTCCTCTCCCCCTTCCCCCACCACCCACCATGTCCTAGGTCATCAATTGTCCTCATATCAGAGTTGAGCACTTTGGATTCTTGCTTCTCCATTCTTGTGGTGCTTTACTAAGAAGAATGTGTTTCAATTCCATCCAAGTTAATACAAAAGATGTAAAGTCTCCATCTTTTCTAGTGGCTAAATAGTATTCCATAGTATACATAAATCACAGCTTGTTTATCCATTCCTGGATTGGCAGGCATTTAGGCTGTTTCCACAGTTTGGCAATTGTAAATTGCACTGCAGTAAACAGTCGAGTGTAAATGTCCTTATGATGAAAGGATTTTTTTTTTTCTGGGTAGGATCAGATGGAAGGTCTAGTTTGAGTTCTTTGAGGATTCTCCATACTTCTTTCCAAAAAAGTTGTGTTAGTTTGCAGTCCCACTACGAGTCTAAAAGTGTTCCCTTCTTTCCACATCCACGCCAGCATCTGCAGCTTTGAGATTTTGTGATTTGGGCCATTCTCACTGGGGTTAGGTGATATCTCAGGGTGGTTTTGATTTGCATTTCTCTGATATTAGGGATGATGGGTATTTTTTCATATGTTTGTTAGCCATTCATCTGTCTTCTTTACAGAAGGTTCTATTCATCTCTCTTGCCATTGATATAAGGGATTGTTGGCTTTTTTATGTTGATTAATTAGAGTTCTCTATAGATGGTTATCAAGCTTTTGTTCGATTCATAATATACAAATATCTTTTCCCATTCTGATGGTTGTCTACTTGCTTTGGTTGGTATCTCCTTAGCTGTACAGAAGCTATTCAATTTATATCTTAAGTTTTTAAAATGGGTGAAATTTAAACCCAGATAAAGTACAACTAAAGAAATAATAAAGAAGATAAATTAATGAAGTGTAAAAGAAACCTACAGAAGATTATCAAAGCCAAAATTGGCTCTTTGGAAGGTTTTACACAATCGACAAATCCCCAGTGAAACTTATCAAGGAAGAAAAGAGAAGGAATAATTAGCCAATATCAGGACTGTGAGAGAACACACCCTGATAGAACCCACAACATTCAAAAATGTGTGAAGAGCATATTACAGACAACTTCCTGCTAGAACTTTTGAAAAATTAGTTAAAATAAACAAAACCCTAGAGAAGAGGTGATTCTACAAGCTATCAGGAGAGGAAATAAAAGATCTGAATAGTAGTAGTAATTCATATTTGCATATACATATATGCTTATGCACATATTTATTTATCCGGATGGTTGAATCAGACACTGTTATCAAAACCTTCCCGCAAATGAAGCAAACACTTTTGAGACTCAGCTGGCTTGCCTTACAATTCTACCAAGAGTTACCCAAAGAAATAATTTCAATTTTAAACAAACTGTTTCAGAAAATAGAAAGAAAATGGACCCTTCCCCAGCTCAATTGTCCAGGTTGCCACAATGACTATAGAAAGCTGCCTTTATCTTCTTCTGAATCCCCAAGACAGGATGATCTTTTAGATATGCTGCTCTGCTGACCTAAGTCTCCTGACCTGGTGTCCTGACTCCATCCACGTCCCCTCCCTGTCCTCCTTCCCTCCACTTTCCTCCTCCATTTCCTCCTGTCCCTTCCCCTTCATCCCCTGCTGTTCCCTTCTTTCTTCTCTTCCTCCCTTCTCATCCACCTCTCTCCTCCCTCCTCCTCTTGTCTCTAAATCCCACAACTATTTAAGAAGGCCCATTCCCCTTTTATAAGACCTGGGCACTGAGAGCTTTAGACACTCTATGCATCTGCCTGAGCCTGACCCCTGGCCCCTGAGCCAGAGGGACAATAGCATCTGCATTTTCCTTCTGCTCCCCCCACCCCACTATCCCACAGGTGGGGAAGCCAGTCTGGGCCTCTACTTCAGAGGCTGGGGCCTTGGTATTATAGCACTCACAGGTTGTCTCCATCATCAAAGTTCAGGATCAAGGAGAAGCTCAGGCCATCTGTGTTCTGTAGAAGGAAAAATAAAGAGGCTGAATGTCTCTGGGAAATTGCTGTGAGGTCACTGTGGGTCAGTCTCACCTCAAGATTCCCAACCCTCTTTTCTGCTAAAGGAAGAGAGGGAAAGTCAACACATGAGGAGTGGACAAAATGGATATATCAATAAAGAGATTTCTAAAACACCTAAAAGGAAACCACAAAGAAATTCTGGAGCTGAGAGGTATAATAAGTGAAAGAAAATTTTTACCAGAGGGATGCAAAGGCAGATTTGAGTAGGAAGAAGTATTAGCACACTTGAAGACAGGACAATGGAAATTATTGAGAATGAGGAACAGAAGAGAAAAAGATTGAAGAAAAGTGAACAAAGCCTAAGGGATCTGTGGGACACCATCAAGGGGAAAAGTGTACACATTGTAGGAGTCCAAGAAAGAAAAGTGAGAGAGAAAGAGGTAGAGAGAATATGTGAAGAAATAGTTGCTAAAACTAATCAAATTTGATGAAAGACATTAATCCACAAATCCAAGAATCTCAAGGAACTTCAAATAAGATGAACTCAAGGAGACCCACCCAAGACACATTATAATTATACTTCCAAAACACAAGCAGAAAAGCTTGAAAGCAGCAAGGTAATGGGACCCAGTGCCACTTTGCCCTGTTACTGACCATGCTATTTTGATCAACTGATCCATGTGGTGTTCACCACATTTCCCCATTTTTAAAGGAACCTCTTACTTTTTATTATTATCAAAGTGATTTGGGTGGACACGTTGTCATCATGCAAGCATCCCTTTCTGCTGAGCCTTCTGCCCAGTGAGTCAGGATCCCTTTGAATGCTGTGGTACAAGGTTACCTCAGGGCTTTACCTTCTCCACTTCGTACCTGAACAGGTACAGAGATGAAATGCACTCTCCTTTTTAGTATCACTCTGACTCACGGATATTCTCACTTCAGTGTTAAAATCTAATATTTGATATTCTTTTGGTGTTCAACTTGTCCCAGATTTGGCCCATTTTGAGCTGTTAGCAGTGCCCTCTGCTATGTCCCATCCCTTGCTCTCTGGGAGAACAAGACACTCCAGGCTCCTGTCTTCTGTCTCTGCCCCAGCTCTGGAATCAGCCATTTCTCTAAGGAACCCTGGCTCTCTTGAGGGGCCAAGTGAGACCTCTAAACCACACATTTGGTGTAGGATTTCCATAATCTCAGAAGGTTCCTGCCAGTGCTCAGCATAAACTTCAAACTCTGAGTCTGATGTATGAGGCCCTTCTTGGCTGGGCTCTGCCCATACCCTCCCCCAGCCCTTTGCTCCCTGCAAACCTCCATCTACCCTCCCACCTCGGAAATGTGCTCCCACACAGTCCCCCTGAGTAAGTCTTTGGTAGGCTCTTGGGCTGGAAATCCCCTGTCTCCACCCCCCCTCCCCCGGCAAATCAGCACCCTCAAGCTTTCCCTCTGTGTCTATCACCATGCCTTTTCAAGCCTCTGCCATACCACCTGGGCTAGAGCCTGTTCAAAGTAAGAGCCTCTTGGCACCAGTGGCTCAAGTGGCTAAGGTGCCAGCCACATACACTTAAGGTGGTGGGTTCAAATCCAGCCCAGGCCCACCAAACAACAATGACAGCTGCAACCAAAAAATAGCCAGGTGTTATGGTGGGTGCCTGTGGTCCCAGCTACTTGGGAGGCAGAGGCAGGAGACTCACTTGAGCCCAGGAGTTGGAGGTTGCTGTGAGCTGTGATGCCGCAGCACTCTACCCAGGGTGACAGCTTGAGGCTCGTCTCAAAAAAAAAAAAAAAAAAAAAAAAAAAAAAAGTAAGAGCCTCTGCCTGGACCCCCTGAACTGTCTCCAAGCTGTGCTCTCCGTGGGGCTCTGACCTTACCCACCTGAACTTGTGACCTCAGTTCACACCTTCACTGTTTGCTCACTCATTCCTTCCTTTCTTTAGCACATTGGCCCTGCACAGCTCTTGGCAGGGCCCTGGGCACTCACCCTCAGGCCCAGCCCCTCAGGGAGCTCTGGAGTGAGAGGTGATCCCCTGGTTGTCCTCAGGGCCTATAGGGTGTTCCTTCAGCACAATGGCCCTGCCTTCTGATGGACCCTCTAGGGCATGGACATCTCCCATTGGCAGTTGCCAAATGCAGCCTGGCAGAGGTGGTCATCCCTCTGGCTCCACTGGCCTTGCCCAAGGTCTCCTGATAATTACTATGGAACCCTGATTTGCCAAGCTGGTGTTGCCCATGGATGAAAGCTTGCCAACCCTTGATGTTCCTGAGGTCACTTCCTCCATGCCCCATAGGCCTGCTTCCTGCCCTCCCTATGGAGAGGGACCCCCAGGGTGCCTGCTGGGCAGGGGAGCTGCATGCTCTACACTGGCAAGTCCAGGAAGGAGTCCCTGCCACCCTCACCTCAGGTGGTCAGCCTCTGCTTCCAGCTCTCCCCTGGAAGCTGCAGACCTCTGACATCTCATCCCCTCCCTAGTCCTACAGAGTCAAGGGCAAATCATTCTGTGAGACACTCGGGCCCCTCACCAGACTTTAGGGCCTTAGCTCCACCTCTGCTTGGACAGCCCCTCGTGGCACCTACTAGGTGTCCACTTACTATTCAGGCCCAGGCAGCTTGTGAGGGCACTACTGCACGGCAACTCCTGGATCTTGAGGCCATAGGAGCCTAGGTCCTTGTTCCCATCACCAGGCACCACTGAGACCTGCCCAGAAGCATGCAGGCCACCCAGACCCTCATCTGTCTCGGAATTCAGGGGTCAGGAAGAAACACTGCAGCAGAGCCTTGAGGTACCAGATGAAGGCCTGATTGACAAGGACCACAAAATTACAGGGCCCTGGCCCTCAGTCTGGCAGGGGTGGACAAAGTCTTCTGTACTCATCGGCTGTGTCTGAGGGCTGGAGAGTCCCATTCTTCAGAGAGGGACCTCCTCAACACCACCTCCCTTTCCACAGTGGCTGGACATGGAAGAGAGGAGCTCCCCACCGGCTGGGCAGAGAAGCCCAAGGGGCCAGATCCTCCACCCTCTGTCCTTTTTGTGTCCACTGTCCACTATGGCAGTGGCCTTAGCTTGCAGAGGGGCCAGGGCATCCTCTCTCAAGATGCCTAGATGCCAGTGTCCTCCCAGAGAGCTCTCCCCTGAGAGCTCTCCACCACCCCTGCCCAGGACCCAGGCCAGTTACCTGCAGCCTCCTGGGTGTGCTTAGTCCCCAGGTCTGTCCTGGTTATGGCAACAAAATGTCTATGTTCCCCATGGACCTTTTCCCTTGGTCCCCATTCCAGAAGAGCCTCAACAAGCTCAGGAAGTGGGAGGTCCACAGCCTCTGTTGTTTCCATTTCCCTCTGAGAGTCCTGCTGACCCTGGACCACTCTGCAAAGGTCTGTCTGGGAGTCACGTGCTTGCAAAGGAGTGCTGAGCCTGCCACCTGCCTCCAGCTCAGTGGCCACCTCAGGCCCAGGCTGGAGATGTGAACTCACTGCCACCAGCTCCCTGAATCCCATAGGCTTGTCCCTGAGGGGTTTGAGGGCAGAGTTGGGGTGACAGTCCACAAGAAGGAGAGGAGGCCAGTCTGGGGATCAAGAAGAAGTTTTATCAGGAAGAAGAGTAGATAGGAGTGTGAGAGAGGTCTCTTCCTGTTACAGGGCTTCAAGAGGCTTTTATTAGCCTTCTCAGTGTGGTTGGAGTGAGGGAGGGGGCTACAACGGCAGTTGTTCTGTGCTGTGGAGGGGCTGATCTTTGCACTGAGGCTAATCTCAGAGTTGCTCCCTTCCACACAGGGGCTGATCTTTGTACCAGGGGCTAATCAGCAGCACTGCATGTGGCCAGGGTGGAAACTTCTGCCCTGTTATTTCCCAGTAACACAGGCCTGGAAACACTCCAGGAGTCGGGAGGGGGTTGCTATGACCCTGCAGTGTGTTTTCTGGCCTCTTTCCTCTTACTAGCTGTCATCCCAAAATGGCTGAGCTCTTGTCAAGGTGGTGAGGATTCCTTCTCCACAGTCTCCAGGGCCCTGCTCACCTGCCAGCCCACCTTCAGGCATTTCTGACCCTCAGGCTTCACACCAGCATGTCCTTGCCGCAGACAGGGAACAGGACTCAGAGCTGTGTGGTGAGTGTGTCTGGTGTGTCCTTTGTGCCAAACACTCCGAGGTTGCTTGCCTGAGAACCCCAAAGAGGAAGCAGGCCCAGGGCATCAATGTCCAGTTCCAGCCCACAGCCCAGCCTAGGAGCCCAGGCAAGACCAAGACCCCCCACGGTGAGTTCATGTCCTTCCTGCTCACCCCTGTGAAGACCCCTCCAGATGCTGCTGACCATTCTGCAGGCCCTGGCCAGCCCTGCAGCCCACTCCCGGTGCCTCTGAGAAGCACCTGGAGTGCTTCAGACACAGGTCCTCATGCAGGGCCATCTCCCGGCCACACCTGAGCCCAGGACCCCATGATGGGAAGAGCCAGAGCAGAAGCAGAAGTGAAGGAGTGGCAGAGTCACTCACCCATTGGGGACCCTGCTCCTGCTGCTCCGTGGGGTGGGGGGGAGGGAGGTGGCAGCACAGTGCTGGCCCAGCAGCTGCACTTCCCAGGCACACACTGGGTAGGGTCCTTGGGGGCTTCCCAACAGGACCAGGTGTGGGGTCAGTGTTCAGCCAGGGCAGAGGGCCAACTTTCAGTTTTGTTTCTCTTCTGGAGAACATTTCCGAGCACTCATGGCACTCCCTTCCCCTGCAGGCCAGATGGGCAGTGGGGGTGAGAAATCCAGGAGAGGAGGGAGGAGGCGTTCCCCCAGCCCCTACTCCCAACCCTGCCTCTGGCAGGGCTTGGCCTGCCCTGGGAGGAAAGGGGACAATGCCACTCTCCCAAGGCCAGAGTTCAGTGGCTGGGACGTTGGCATGAGTAGAGGTCCTGGCAGGGGCTAGACCTGACCTTGACTTCTGCCTGAGCAGGAGTCCCACACTGCATTGGGCTGGGCTGAGGCTGCCTGGGGGACCCCACTTTCCAGGCTTGGAACCCACTAAGCATCTGCCTCAATCCCTGGGGTTGATCTGATCTTCACCCTGACCTTGACTGACTATATAGTGGAAGGTGACTGAGCCCAGGACCCAAGATGGGAAGGATCCTGTCTCTTGAGAAGAGCCCTGACTCTGGACTTTTGGTGATAACCTGTGTCAATGTACGCACATTCGTTTTAACAAATGTGTCACACTGGTGGGGACATTGGTAATCCAGAAGGCAAAGCACACATAGGGGTGTGGACACACAGGAAATCTCTGTTTCTTCTTGCCAATTTTCCTATGAACCTAAAATTGGTCTAAAAAATAAAGTCTATTCAGAAAACAGAGAGAACAAACAGAAGTTTAAACAGTGGAAGGGGCAAGCCCTCTCATATCTACACGAATGAGACCCAAATGGACCAGATAAACCAGCCAATTAAAGGACACTGGCAGAAGGAATACAAAACATACCCCTAATACATGTTGTCCTCAAGAAACCCATTCTGACCATAATTATGTAAGTAGGCTAAGGGTGAAAGGGGACAACAGGCAAATAAAACAAAATCTCTTAATAGCAGATATGTCCCCGGGGCAAGGACAATTACAGAGACAATGACAGGATGCCCCAGATAGCAGGGCTGCCCTAGTAGCCTCCTTGGGGGAGCTCTGCATGGTGACACAAGCATTCTTCCCACCCTCTTCCCTAGGTCCCCTGGGGAGGTCCCCTGGGGAAGCAGAGGACTTTCCTTGGCCCCCACAGGTTGAGTGAGGCATCTGCCCTTCATGCCTCTAGTGCCTTCCTGTTTGGACAACCAATATTTCAATTGCCTCTTTCAATTGTTTACGGAACCACTGGTGTGAAGATGTATTTCTTATTCTGAGGAAATGTAACTCCCCTTTCCAAACTGGTGCCATGTCTTCTGTTCTAGTCCTTTTACAGTGCTCTGAGCATTTGCTCTGCCACTAGGTTGGAAAGCCCAGTCCAGAGTGTCGCTGTCAGGACCCACTGTGGCCTCCCAGGGCCACCAGGATGGGGTAAACTTGCCAGCTGCATGGGGGTGGGGGGTGGAGGGGCCTTCCCCAGGAAGCCAGCCTTGCAGCCGTCTGCAGTCTCTGCCTTTTATTTGCCCACAGGACTCTTGTTTCTGGCATCTGTGCCTCAGAGGGTTCAGCAGGGACCAGACACAGCCTGTCCCTGCCCTGGGCAGCCCCTGCGCCCACTTGTTGTCTGGACCCTGGTGATCACCTCAAGAGAGTGCAACAGGACATCCGTTGCTTCCTCCTGTCACACTCTGATTCTGGAAGGGGGTTCTTCCGATGGACACCCACAGGCCCTGGTTTCTTGGGCCCTCACATTCCCACAGTGATTTCCAGGGACCATGTTTCTACTTCCTTGTGCCTCATGTCATGGCCAGGCCATTACACACTGCCCACAAATCATGAAAATCCCCCAAGGAGGGGCAAACCGTCTGCAAGTCAGCTCGCTGAGCTGATTTGTTCTTATCTTCTTAAACCAGAATGACAGCTGTGCTAACAGGAGCCTCCATCTACCTTGGGACTCCATCCACACACTGAGCCTCTCGTCATTGGTTAGCTGAGAACTGTTCATAGGGCACTGTCCTCACGACTGTAGAATCCAAAAGCTCCTGCCTGGAGGAGTACAGTGTCAGTCCTGGTGAAAAGAGGCCAGCTGCTTGGGGTGTAATGTCCCTCTGTGTGGGCCTCTGTAGTACCTCTATACAAATAAATGAAATTTCCATTTACTCTGGAAATCGTCTGGGCACTGACCTCTCCGGTGGAGTGTTTTTCTGGCATTGCCTAAGACATTCTGGGTATTCCAGGTCCCAGTGTTTTTTATGTCCTTTGGTCACTGGATGGTCTCAATCATAACCTCACACCATCTACCTGTCTCTCAGAAATTTTCTGGTCTTCAGTCCCAGTGGGAGCTGCTGGGTGGAGCTCATGGGCCTTTCCAGGAGCCTGTGGGCCTCAGACAGTTCTGGGATTCCCTCTGGCGTGCTGGGCTAGTATCAGCTGAGGGCAGACCTGCCTTCTGTTTCACAGTGACACGTAGGGGAAGTGAGGCACAGTTCTACCCCCATGACACAGTCAGGGACAGCAGGCATGAACATGTCACATACAATCTGTCCAAACTTTCACCTCACCCTGTCAGACTTTGCTTCCTGTGTCCTCTCAGCTGCCACTTCACCAGTAGGTCTGGGAGCCCCAAGTTGGCTCCACACCCTGACTGTTCCACCCATTCATGATATGGCATTGGGTCCCCAGCCAGGGTCGTGGTGGCCCAGGGACCCTGGCCATTTCACTGGCCCTTACCTTGGTTAGATTGTGGGACCATGACTCTGAGCAACCAGACGTTAACTTTTTCATTGCCTCTGACTTCATATATTCCAAACTGGGTGAATACAATAAATTTCTTTAGGGATTTAGACGCTGGTGACAAGCAAGACCTCCTGTCAGCTCCCGTTCCTGAGAGTGCTGCCGTGGGAGCTTGATCTGACCCCATTGACATCCAGAAGCACCAAACGCAAAGCTTCCTTTCACCCCTCCCTGTGGAGTCAGGACAGCTGACTGCACAACTTCAAGCTTTATTATTGAAATTAACTCATAAAATAAGGTCACTCTTCTCTAAAATTGCCTTTATGTTTATGTCGGCTCTATTTCAAAAAACTAAAATTGGTATAAGGCTTTAGTTTTCTGCTGTCCAGTAACCTATAATGCTTAAAGTGTGAAGTTCCATAGTATTAAGCAGTGTGGGACACATGGACCTCACAGAATCTACATGTGATGACACAGATCTGGAGTATTGTCAGCAGGTGGCTCCCCAGCTCCCTGGCAGAGTGATTGCTGGGGCTCTGGTATCCAGGCACAGTCAATCCATCAGTTGTCCACATGGCTGACCTTAGTCTCCAGCCCTCAGGAGGTTGAGCTGTGTGACCCAAAGCCTCCAGCCTAAGTCATATTACTGGTCTTTCTGGCGTGGTCAGTCCCCACTAAATACCATGTAGCCTGCCCACCCTAAATTGCTTCCTTAGACTGTCAGGCATTATCCAAGGCCCCAGGTAAACAAAGACATGCCTGTCAGTCATGACACCCTAATAAGGGCTTAATAATCATCTTCCAGAAGCCAAGGGGAAGAGCTGGACATTTGTTTGGTTGAATTCTTTACTACGTAACACCTGAGATAAAGGATTATGGGCATACTCGAGGATTTCCAAAGTACCGTCACATCCCTGGTGCTGCATATGGGGCAGCTGGCAGGGGCCCACCAGGATGACCAGCCGCAAGGAGCAGGAGGTCCTGGCCACAGCTAGCCAGGCCCATGTTCCAAGGCCCAGAGCGGACAGACCACGCCCAGGATCAGGCCCAGAAGCCAGAACCTCTGTGGGTTCACCTCAGGGCGGCTGCAGAGCTCGGGCTGCAGTTGCTATGCTCCTGGCAGTGCCTGTGCCCTGGGGATGCCTCCATCCAACCCCGCAACAGGTGCCCCAGCCTAGCTCCATCCTCCCCCTTCCCCTTGTCAGACATCAGAGGGTCCCCAGGGTCCCAGGAGCAGCTCCTGGGAAAGGGACTCTATCCTTCTCCCACTTCCAGAAAGGGAGGAAGACACTGTCTGGGCGTCCTCTCCACCAAGGGTGCCCCAGCCCAGCACCTCTCCACTGAGGGGCAGAGGAGCCTGTCTACACCCAGTGCTGTCCACACAGCCTGATGGCAGAAGCGTCACCTCCTCTGCAGGGCCAGAACCACAGCCAGGCACATTTTTCTGTTGCTACCAAAGTAACTTTGATTTTTTTCTCTTTTTCATTTGTATTGCTATTAAGTAATCATTCAATGGCTTAAGTGGCAATCTGCCAATTCTTAGCTAATGTTTGTAACTGCAGGCCATTAGAAGGGAAGGGCGTTGACAAATTGTCTTGTTTGTAGGTCGTATAATTACATTATTTTTGTTGTTGCTGATAAGTGCAATTAAGTAATCGGAAACACAGCAAGAACTCCGGTTTGTCCTCAGAAATAATGTTGATGTTTTTGTCTTTGCTTTTATTATTATCTAAGTGATTATACGATATCTCAAATGGAGACCTGATAGAACTGTGATTTCTTAGGGTGGTGTCTTACAGATGTATAAGTGTGAATCTTAGGAAATAGTTTCTACATTACTTAATTTCCAAATAGTACAAGTAGAATATTTTTGGTCATTACAATTTTATAAGTCTCATTTCTGGTCCAGAAAACCAATTTTTGAATCTCTCATGAGCTAATTTAAATTTCTTTTTTTTTTCTTTCTTTCTTTCTTTTTTTTTTTTTTTTGCAGTTTTTGGCTGGGGCTGGGGCCAGGACTGGGTGGCGCCCTACTCCTTTGAGCTGCAGGTGCTACCCGCTAATTTGAATTTTATCACATTTGGTTTTGCTGCTGCAGTTAATTGATTACATAATTGCTCAAATGGAAGCTGCAGTTAAGTGATTACACAATTGCTCAAATAGAACACTAGTTCTCAGAACAATGATTTATAAATGAAGCTCATTTGGAAATGCTACTCCCTTTCCCCCTGTTCTGGGTAGGGCATGGTTTTAGGGATGGCCAGCTATTCAGTGAGAGAGTTTTACATGTGCCTCTCACAACTAGAAAGATTTAAAAACACAGTTTTCTTCTATGGACCAATAGATGAATTCACTCTAATTATAAGTCTAACATATGCTTTTTTTTTTGAGACAGAGTCTCACTTTGTTGCCCTTGGTAGAGTTCTGGGGCAGCATAGCTCACAGCAACCTCAAACTCTTGGGCTTAAGTGATCCTCTTGCCAAGTAGCTGGGACTACAGGTGCCTGTCACCACACCCGGCTAGTTTTTAGAGACCAAATCTCTTTCTTGCTCAGGCTGGTCCTGAACTCTTGAGCTTAATCAATCCACCCACCTCAGTCTCCTAGAGTGCTAGGATTACAGGTGTGAGCCACTGCACCTGACAAGACTAATAATATTCAACTCACTAAAGCTTTGTTTTAAAAAATTTGGGAAACACTGTTATAACAAAATGTCCTTCACTTGTGCATTCATCAGGGTTATTGTCAGGTCTGCACCTAGAGGCCCACTGGCATCACCTCCCTTGCCCCCAAATTCAGGATGCAGTTTGGGTAGGAGTTTACTCAAGGGCAACCCAGTCCCCAAAGTTGTTTCCTCAAAGCGCCCTCTTCCCAGCCCACCACCCTTATCACCTTCTCTGGCCATTTCCCAGAGTACACTTTCAGGGCTTCTGCCCATGGGATCCAAGGGCAGGGGCTTTCCCTCCTCCAGGGTCTGAACTGTTGGGAGGTGATCCTAACCCCAACCAAAAAGCAGCCCCAGAGGCCCCAGAACAAAGTTCACAAGTCAAACCCCCCTCTTCAGGAATTCTTGCCCCCACAAAATGATGAGGTAACAAAGCCTTTCTGGAAAACTATACACCCCTCCATGTACTATGACTTTCACCCCCCCTGTCCCTGTGTCCAGTTGTGAGTTTGGAAAGGGCCTCAGAGGTCAAGCTGTCACCCTTCACACCTTCCCTGACCACATCTGGTGAAAGCTGGAGTGGTGATGGGTGGGAACTTCAGGGTGAGTGGGGGCATCAG